TCAAACTTGCAGGACCTGCCTCTAAATCTTGTTTATAGGGCTGGTATAGCTTATGTAAATCAAATAAGTCCATGTCAAGTCCTCACCACTGTAAATCTTCCCATATATTATTTGCCAAGCATTAAGAGCTGTGGACAGGGAACTCCTGGAAAAAGTCAGCACTGCTAGAGAAGGAAAGGAAGGCATAGTTTATCCTCATCCTGATATTTCTGTACCACTAGTGGGGCTGACAGCCATTGTGGGCTTTGGGGGAAGGTGATGAGTCACAGCTCTGCGTGCCCCAGAAGGGGCAAGGCCTCAGGCAGAAGGGTAGGGCTGAGGAGTCAGGCCTTAGCGCCACCCAGACCATGGCATGTCTCCCTTTGCACCACGCAGAACGGAGGTCTGATGGCAATTCAAAGAGGCTTGAAGCACCGCCTGCTGCCACTGCATCAACAGCTTCAGCTGGAGCCCAGGGCCCCTTTGAATCACCGGGCCCTGGAGCAATGGCTGCCTTTGCCCTGATCTGTCAATGGGCCTATGGACCACTCAAGTCAGTTGGTGCTGCAGTTAACATTGTGCATTTTTAATATTCAGAAGAAAATTATGTCAGTGTCTTCTATTGTGGCTGAGCAAGTTTAAATGAGTGCACGTCAGTTAAGTAATTGTTTATCTCCTATAGGGTCTGTTCATACTGTGTATGTGAAAAAGACTCCATTCACTGCTTTGATACACTAAACTATCTGTATGATTTGGAAATAGAAGAAAGACCTGTAGAAAGAGTAAACATCCAGAAATTAATGGGAGAACATTTATCCGTGTATCCCTGACAATACAGTTGGCATTCCTTCGGGAACTGTTTTTATAAAACTAAGGCATGCTGATTTAAGGGAACAAGGTTTAGATAAAAAATAAGACACACAGACCATTAAGTCTCTTTGCACCATTTGAAAACTGTAAGAAAAAGAAAACATGATACATTTTTAGTGTTGTAGATTTCAATATCTTTCTCCAGTTTAGTACCAGACATTTCAAATACCACTAATTTATTTTAAATTAGTAGGACTAGTCACTCTGGACTCCATCTTGACTATAAACTGCTTATGGAATTTTCATAGGATTCCCAGATCCTATAGACCAGTTGGAAATGATCACGTCTCGCCATAGTCAGGGCAAGGCATCTACTAGGTAGAGTCTTGGACCATCTGAATCATATACACTGGGCCATTTCTGAGACTGGGACTGATATATCTGCCCAAGATGGGTTACAGCACTCACATATTTACCTTTAAAGTTTTCTGAGTGAAATTTTATCCAGTGGCCTACATGCCTCCTTTTCTACAACATTACCTAAAAATGTTACTGTACCACCCAACTTAAATTCCTGAATATTGAAGTCTGTACTCATTATTACAGTACCTACAGAAAGCATGGTACAACACACTCCCCTACAATACAGAAAGTGTACTATGAAATTTTGCAATATTTTATTTTGTAGCATTTAATCCTGGATGCTAGACACCCTGCTAAGTAATTTGGAGATTCCTGACATTTTTTTAAGTTTGCATCTCATCAACTAACAAAGATCCAGTCCTGCATAAACACTGTCTACTCAAAATTGCCACTGATTAGAATGTCTATCCACTGGGCAGTAGTAAATGACCTTAGCAAGTTAGAGAAATGGTCAGAGGTAAACAGGATGAGATTTAATAAAGAGAAATGCAAAGTGCTCCACTTAGGAAGGAACAATCAGTTCCATACATACAAGATGGGAAGCGACTGTCAAGGAAGGAGCATGGCGGAAAGGAATCTAGGGGTCATAGTGGACCACAAGTTGAATATGAGTCAACAGTGTGATGCTGTTGCAAAAAAAGCAAATATGATTCTAGGTTGTATCAACAGGTGTGTTGTAAGCAAAACTCGTGAAGTCATTCTGCCGCTCTACTCTGCACTAGTTAGGCCTCAGCTGGAGTACTGTGTCCAGTTCTGGGCGCCACATTTCAAGAAAGATGTGGAGAAATTGGAAAGGGTGCAGAGAAGAGCGACAAGAATGATTAAAGGTTTAGAGAACATGACCTATGAAGCCAGGCTTCATGAACTGGGCTTGTTTAGTTTGGAAAAAAGAAGATTAAGGGGGGACATGATAGCGGGTTTCAAATATCTAAAAGGGTGTCACAAGGAGGAAGGAGAAAATTTGTTCCTCTTGGTTTCTGAGGACAGGACAAGGAGTAATGGGCTTAAAGTGCAGCAAGGGAGATTTAGATTGGACATTAGGAAAAAATTCCTAACTGTCAGGGTGGTCAAATATTGGAATAAATTGCCAAGGGAGGTGGTGGAATCTCCCTCTCTGGAGATATTTAAGAACAGGTTAGATAGACATCTGTCAGGCATGGCGTAGACGGAGCTTGGTCCTGCCTTGAGGGCGGGGGGCTGGACTCGATGCCCTCTTGAGGTCCCTTCCAGTCCTATTATTCTATGATTCTATGATAAATGCAGTATGTTAGATGCTGATCTTGCATAGCACTTTAAGACACCACTCATATAAGGCAGGAGTAGGCAATAACATGACGGTGGTTATCCAGAGTTAACCCCTGGCAGGCTGCCACCTCTATATTTATCTGTACAGCTGCGGGTACTGGCAATCACAGCTCCAATTAGCCATAGATCACCATTCCTGGCCAATGGGAGTGGCTGGAAGTGGACCAAGACACTGCTTCATGCACCTCCCATTGGCCAGGAATGGTTATCCGCAACCAGTGGGAGATGTGATTGCCAGTATCTGTAGCCACATCAGGAGCTAGCCCTGGCAGGCTGGATCCAGCCCATGGACGAGTATTTTCCCGCCACTAATATAAGGGATCTCTGTAAATCATACATATTGCAGAAAGATTAGGAAATCTTGATTTAAAGAAACTAAGATTTCCAGAAAAACAAAAATTGTAATACATTTTTTTCCTAGTGTATTTTCTTTATGCACCATTGTTAAATATTTTGCTATAAATAGTTTTGCTAAATTTGGAGGATTTATTTGTAAATAAGACAATATAAAATAGTAACATATATGCTAATGTAATAAAAACATCATATATTATTCGTCTCATGCAAGTCACCCATTGACTTCAACTTAAATATAGTGAACGAAATTTGGCCCTAAGTCTGGGTATCCTAGATGGGCCAACTATAACAGTGTTAATTATGGAAATCAATCAATTTCATATAATCATGGTAAACAAATTGATTTAACCAAAATAACAGCTAGGCTCTGAAGATTACAAACCTGACACTCCTCTTAAACTGCACTGTTATAAATCTGCTGAAATCAGTGGAATTGCAACATGGTAAAACTATAATTTGTGAAAAGCAAATCAGTTGTCTTTAAGCCTGAAGCATGTACTGTACTTTGTGTTCAGTATTAAAATATTGTAAAATATTATGTCTGTTTTCAGTATTCATAAATTAAGTTGAACAGGTGATAAAATAGTTTTCTTTATAATTAACTTCTTTACAAGTACTAAAAAAGTTGAAGTTCCATAATAATAGAACATTCTTCCTAGGAATAATGCCTCTAATCTAAGCTTTAAAAGTGTCAGAAAAGTAGAGAAGGTGTCTTTAATGCTGCAATGCAGCAACCATCTGTCTAATACTAACAACACCACATAAGTATGTACTCTCAGTCTGCTTACATCATTCCCTTTATAAAATTAGCTATTTATCAATGCAGCCATTTTACTGATGTTATGCACTACATGGTAATAACATTGTAAGAGGTCATGGAACGCTGTGATCAAAACCACTTTTATTTAGTATGGTACTCATATTTGTCCATTGCTAATCATATGGTAACCTAGCATAAAAGAATAAAGTTGAAGATTTGGATTACATCACTCACTTTGGTTCATTGAAGCAATAGTCTTACTACAATTTTCTCTGAAAAGTATTTGATTTTATTTCAGATATCATGTAAGTATGAATATTTCTGTTTACTTATGTATTTATTGGACATGTATGTGTACTGTACCAGAATAACAAGTAGTTTCAAAATGCACAATAGACAATATAAGTGCATTGGCAAAAGAGAATGCAAAATAATGGCTATTGCTCTAAAATTAATGTGCTGTTCTTTCTTTCTTTCTGATAATCTAGAAATTTAAAAAGTACTTATAAACAACTGGTAATATGTGTTTTCATGTCAATAAGATGAAAAAGTTTAAATATCAATTTTTAGGTTTTGCAGATTTGATAGAATGCCATCTACATTAGACATGAAAATACTGTTATGTATCTTTCTATTGGTTTGGTCATAATGTTGGAACAATGACGTGCTACCCATAATGCAATTGAGTGATACTCAGACCTCAGTGGTTCAGGTGCCAAATTAGTGATCAGATTATTCAAAAGAACCACTATAGCATGAATTGATTGTTTCATTTACTCTAGTACTATGTATTCCTATTTAAACAATATGACAGGTAAATACTTCGTATGTGTGTATATAAAATTCTTACAGAAAAATGGCTAACCAAATATTATTATTTTATCAACTATGATCGGTTAATAACATAGTAAAAACACCCTGATTGGTTAATAACTTAGATTGGTTGATAATTAAATTAGAGTGTTTTAATAGCACTGGCTTGAAAGATCTGCAGAAGACACATTAAAAAGCTACTTGCAGCTCAGGATTTTCTCTCTGAGTATCACGGATACAGTAACACAATTGGTTATAACCTAAAATTTAACCATATTGAAATTTTATTTCAATATATTCATATGTGCTACAGAAAATAGCCAGATTATTCTGGTGACTCAGAATATTTTCAGTAAAAAAAATACATGTGATGTAATTTCTAATCTTGTGACCTTGCCTGTAGTAAAGCAATTTATCATTACATATATAGTAAGTATGCTATTTAATAGCACTGAAATACATGCACAGTATTTTGGTTTGCAATACAAATATTAATTTTCTGTTTAAAATAAATGTGATGGTTAAAAACAGCCATGTGGACTTTTATTTACAGAAGTTAAATGCATCCAGCTCATCTGAAGGCAGTACAGTTGATATTGGACTTCCTCAAGAAGGAGAACAACCAGAGGTAGAACCTGAAGAAGCTCTTGAACCAGAAGCCTGTTTTACAGAAGGTGAGTGATGCAAATTGTTGTGTAAGGGAGTGTTTTGCTTCCATAAGCTATTCCCCACTAGTGGCACCAACAGTGCTAGCAACCTCAAAAGGGGATAATACTCATTCTCCCAGTTCTCTTTTCTATTAATATCCCCTTCAGAGGTGTAGAAGTTGGCATACAGCTCTGGAAGTTCTAATGGTACTGAGTAGGTGTAATCAAAATATGTCAAACAAATCTTTACTTTTCTTGCAAATGGTGAGACTAACAGGCTGAAGAATTCAGGGGAATACTCTAAAATTAGTCAGACAGATGTCAATGCTTTAGAATACATTGTTGCCTTATTTTCATGTCTCACAACTTAATATCACATTTGCCAGGCTGTGTACGGAAGTTCAAGTGCTGTCAAGTCAGCATAGAAGATGGGAAAGGAAAACTATGGTGGAATCTTAGGAAAACCTGCTACAAGATAGTTGAACACAACTGGTTTGAGACCTTCATTGTCTTCATGATTCTCCTCAGCAGTGGCGCTCTGGTAATTGTAATGTGAAACAACTAAGATATATGTTAACATTAAGTTTCTAGTATTGTGGTTAATCATGTACATATCCTTAGCATAGTTTTCATCCATTGGAAAAAGTCCCAAGTAAGAAATGTCATTGTATCACTACAGAAATAGTCTCAAGAAACATTTGTCAATTAAAGTAGTAGATATGGAAATTCTTGGTGGCTATAAATGCAACAAGCATGGAAGATTGAATATCAGTTGTATATTGAAATAGGAACCTAGTTATAGCCGCTACACATCAAAATATCTTCACTTATTCTTTGAATGTTCATGATTTTTTCTTTATTCTCCTTAATAAGAAATAGAACATGAACTGTTAGTTTCCTATTGCTTCTGTCATGTGTAAATGAACTACAGCTGACCCAGGAGTGCAGCATCAGCAGACTGAAATATCATATAGATAAGTGATTAATTCAAAGTTTTATTTTCCAGTCTGGAATGAAAGCAGGTGTGTTGCATAAACACTTAAATAGTTAACGTTCCATAGAATATTCTATACTAACTACAATTGTATTTAAATGCATGTGTTATTGGCAGGGTTGTTGCACAGGTTCCCTGATAAGTGCGGAGAGAGTTTTGCCTGAGAACGGTTATAAAACCATGCTGAAGACTGTTTTGCTAGTTAATCTATACAGCTTGGTTTCATTGGTATGATTATCAGAAAATCCCTGTCCATAACAGTCAGCATTAGATCCTGCTTTTGGCAACCCAGGTTGAAAGATAGATGCATCTAGCAGAGTTCAGATCCTAATGTCAACAAATAATTATCTAAAGGGGAAGAAGAAAAGGAGTTTGAGCTACAAAGAACTCCACTGGGGTGAGCAGTATGGATCATCATTCATCTTTACTGAATGTGGTAATTAATAGGTAGAAACCTTCACAGATACAGAATTTATGTCGGCAAACTAATCCACGAGTCACAAAAATTCTCTGTGGATAGCCCCTATTCATAGGTGCAAATATCTATTGATATGAAGTGGATATCTGGGGATTTGCAGTTTTAACCAATAACTCCACAGATCACTGCAATAACTCTTCCTCCCCACCACCTGCTCTGCCCCCACCATACCACCTTTCACTGGACCTTTGTGTGCAGCACTGCCCTCCAGTGCATGGCTTAAATACCTCTACTTAGTTACAACAGTTCTAATGCACATAGAGGTTGGCTCACTGTACAGGAGCATAAGGTTGCACCCCCTTCTGGGAGCTGTAGTTTGCCTTCTCTACCTGAGCAAATTGGGGACTACAGCTCCCAGATATCTAGTGGGCTATAGCCACATATCACGGTCTGCTGCTGGCTGATTCAGAGAGCCAAGTTGGAGCCTGAGGGCTGGTGACAGTCGCCCTGTTCAGGTGAGTTTGTGCTACAGAGCTCTGCACAGATACAAAAGTTGTATCCACGTCCAAGGTGCAATCCACAGAAATGGTCTGTGGATATTTGCACAGCTCTAATAATAAGCATGAAAGGAGGGAATATGTTACACAAAGTGAAGGAGAAATGGTGCCATCTGTTCTAATTGGGAAGAGAAAGTATAAGTGGATGGGAGGGAAATAATGATTATCTGCATTGCAATTAATTTACAAAAAAAAAAAAAAAAAAAAAAAAAAAAAAAAAGCACAGTGGCCATTTTTTCAGTTCCTTTGGCCTATATGGCAAACTGTTATGTTATATAAGCACTTCACATACAATATTTTGTTCACAGGCTTTTGAAGACATATACATTGAACAGCGCAAGACTATTAAAACCATGCTGGAATATGCCGATAAAGTCTTCACTTATATCTTCATTCTGGAAATGCTTTTAAAATGGGTGGCTTATGGTTTTCAAATGTATTTCACTAATGCCTGGTGCTGGCTGGACTTCCTGATTGTTGATGTATGTATTCTCTTTTATATACTGTTACAAGTCTATCATGCTCCATATTTCATAATATTATGTGTCACTTATTTAAAGTCAAACTCTCCATTCATTCCAATGCGGAGCTCTGTTTAAAAGCTTTCAGCACACTATGGCTTCAGTAGCCCCAATTTTAAAGATAAAAGTTACTAAAAGTCCACAGTAGCTTTGAATGTTTTGCTAATATCATTTGATTATTTTATTGTATTATTAATATACATTTATGGTTTTTTTCTTCCTCTTTTCATATATTTGCCGTATGGAAAGAATACCGTTCATCATCTTGATTTTTATAGAATATGGATTTTTAATATTTGTTAACATGGTTCTTTTGTGGGACTTTTTATTACTATTCTAAGCCCTGTTGAGATAAATTTTATACTCTTTAATCAGTATAATCTCCAGGCAAAGCATCATTCCCTGCTTTTTCCTGTAGCAGCATACAAGGCCAGAAAAGTCTCTTATGGGATGCAGGAGAATTCTCTTGGCACAAGTCCTACAAGTCAGAACTCAGTCTGTCAAACTATTAAAAAATTAATTGTGATTAATTACATTAACATTGGAATTAATTGCTGTTTTAAATGCACTGTTAAGCAACAGTAGAATACCATTTATTTAAACATTGATTCTATTGCACAGCTTCTGTCCTTATTTATTACTAATGGGCTAACCTCCACACAAATGGAATTCAAAGGTAGTTCAGTGTCACTGGAGACATCAAAACTAAACTCCACCCTTCAGCTCAAGTCATCAGATTTTCTGCCTCTGACAGTGGGAAAAGTTGGCAGTTCAGTTTCTTCTAGCCATTTTGTTTTAAACCTTTGTATTACTTTTGTTGTGTACTTGCGAGTTAGAATCTTCTTGCTCCTCCACTCTTCCTGGATTGTCTTTATAGCCTTTAGAGAGATGAAACATACCATGCCTTTTACCCCTGCACTGCAATGGCTTAGGACTCCAGTTGGTCACACATGTCACATCCCCATCCTTTACTGAGGGATTGTGGCTCCAATACTGAAAAGCCAAATCAGATATTTCACAATTTTGGGGGAAAGTGTCTCAGGACAAGGAGGTAATTCCTGAAACAGAACTGAAGTATAAGAGGAAAATCTGCTCTGAAAAACTCCAGAAGTGCCTTCTTCCCCTCTTCCTTGTGATACTGAAAAAACCTCTGTTCCCTGGTGAAAGAAGCAGGGCACTTATATTGCTTCCCTTCCTCCTACTATGAATTGGGGGATTCTCCTGATACTCAGGGATAAGTCCTACAAACATCCAAGACATCAGGTCCCAAAAAGGCAAAAGGAAGTGTGTCATTTGCAAGGCAGCAATTAGTGCTGCTAAAGAACAAAGGGGATGACAATCAGGGGTCAATCCCCCCTTTTTTGCCTCTTCCCCTGAAGAAGTGTTTGCAGTTCTATTCTCCTATACAGTGTCTTTTTCAATGTTCTGTCATGCTCACCATCCCTCCCCACATCCTGCAGTATATTCAGATATGTTCATTCATTCCATGCTACACAGGCTGGCTCCATATTCACACCTAAGAAGCACTTGCTCCAAATATATGAGGATTCCACTCCCACAGAGCTGAATCTTCAGGGGGGTCACAATGGAGTAAGGGAAAATTCTTTTCCTGCCAAAGTAATCTTGATGTACTGCGTAAAGCCTCAAGCGGCAGTATGTTGCTTCTACAATACTTGGATGCTAACCAACCTTTGGGAACAAGCTGGCAACCTTTCATACTCCCAGGATATCTAGCAAACTATGTTCACAGTTGAGATCTGTATATCAATAGCTTCCCTCTGTTGTGTGTTCCCTATTCCAGGATGAATAGTGTACACCACCTTCCCTATATTCAGCAAGGGGAAGAAATACCACAGATGTATCAATAACAACAACAAAACCCTATTGGATTTTGTGAGGAGAGGGCATTAGTAGGTGGTTTGGAAGGAACTCAATAATATTAGATATTTGTTTTCCTGTCAATGTTTTCTTCAAGGGTATTATAAGAATCAGGTGTGGATATCTAATTAAACAAAGGTTAAATTAAAATGTTTATACAAAAACAAAGTAATTTCATAAATTTGAGGAGCTTAAGGTTGATGCAGCCATAGCTATGAAAGACACAATCACACCTGTGGAAGAGGCCATTTAGACCAAAGTCTTTTTTACATATTTAGTAAAGAAAACCTACTTTATGATACTTGCTTGGAGTAAGACATTACTGGTTTTGCCTTGGTCAAATTCTTGACTTGACTTATGACGAACAGATTCTGACTTGGTAGGTATAAGACAACCATATCATACTCATGAATAGCTATTGTTTATATTAAATGGATACCTGTGCATTCAAAATTATAACAAGAACCTTTCTGTCTAAATATTAGATGAAGTAGTGGCTGAGATTTCAAAGAATCCTCAGCCTTCCCTGTCAGAGCCTGCATAACAACTCAAAGGATATTTTTGAAGGGGCTGATACCATAGTAGAGAGAAAAATCTGGAGCAGAAGCCCCCGAGGAAATCTTAATAAGCTTTCTTCCAAATTAACAAAATTATCATCATAACAAAGATGAATTTGTGTATGAGACCCCTTAATTCCCACCCAAGGCTTGTCCTTCTGATTCACCGTCTGCACCCAGAGTTCCCAGTGGCTGGTAGTACTCACAACAAGACACAGGTTGCACAATATGCACCTATAATCATGGATAGATAGGGTGCTAATGGATATGAACAGAGAAATGGATCCATTCATAAATGAAGAGCTGCTGGAAAGGATTCAGGCACCAGTTCTTCAAAACTAAGAATTGTTTATTTCAATTCAGAGAATTGCTCATCCAGCTATCAAGAGACATAAGTGTGGCCATAATTTTGCCATAAAGGTGAAGATAGTAAAGATCTAAAACTACATTTAATCAATCATTTCCAGAGGGATTCGTTACCTCCAGTGGCAAGGCTTGCCTGTGCCATGCATCAGCTTTATCCTTTAAGTGGTTTTCTCAAAATGTACCCACTGATATTTCTTATGAGGACATAGGATCATACACTTGATACAGTACAAAATTAGGTGTCATTCTCAGACTCTAGCCATCCCTTTGTGGGCAGATAGGGGCAAATAACACGCTGAAAGCCAAGCCAGCTTTCACTTTAGAACTTAGCCTACTCACCATGAAAGCAAGCATGCTAAGAAAAGAAATTTCCAATATTTTGTAGTACACATCCTCTTGGCTAACTTCAACCTCTACTGAGTGTCTTCAAAAAAGAAAAAAAACCTCCACACATTTGACCATATGGAATCAGAACAGTGGTCCACCAGGTTCAATCTGTGAGAGTGACAAGTACCAATTATCTCAGCAAAATAAGAAACCACATGGTGGGCAAGTATGGTACTTTCAGATAAAGTCTTCTCTTACCTCCCATTACAGATTGGCTTATGATTGCGGAAGCATGTTTAAATCTCTTCCAAAACCAGACAGTAACCAGAGGCCAAAGCTGCTTTTTATTTATTCATTTACTTTTTTTTTTTTGTAGCAATGGAAATAATGTCCCCAATAGAAAAGCATCTGCTGCATTTCAAGATGGTTCATGTAAAGGATACAGAAAAGAGAGAGTTGTGGTCATCCACCTAAACCTCCACTAGGCCAGAAGGCACTTTGAATTTGAAGTTACATTGAATCTGCAAAACCATTTGAAGCAGCAACTGCACTCAGATTCTGAATATGAACAATTAGCAGCCTGGGCATAGGAATTGGGCATAGTCTGCTCTCAGAGGTGTAGTTCAGCATGGATTCCACATTAACCTCAAAGACCGTTTGATATGTAGATAGAAATTAGCCAGGGTGTTTTGTTTATGGATGGAATGAGATTCACATTTTTGGTATAAGGGGGAACTAGGACTTGGCCAGGCAACCACAATGAGTTCCAGATCGCTAGATAATATAAATACTATAATCACAAAGATCTGGGAATCTCATCTTCACCAGCTTTTCTTCAAGGAGGTTTGATTGGAGACCTACAGCTAAACACTTTAGAAATGTGGGTACCAGATATAGTGGCATTTGTAGACAGGTATATTGGATTCTCCATGTAAGTATCAGGTGCTGAGTTAATTACAGACACAAATTAGACAAGCCTATGACTGTCTTTTCTAGGTGCCATTACCTTCAAAAGTCATGTTTTGGAACTGGTCCCTGTATCCGTGCAAGAAGTATGCTACTTTTGTTTATAAGGAAAATGTTATTCTTGTACATCTCCAAATCTTTCTGTTCAAGATAAGTTCCTCTTTGCAAAATTCCTGATAAATAGCTCTCCCATCTTTTTTTCATAACTCTTGGTAGATTGTGCTTTGAATGGACTCTCAAGCTAGTTTTCTAAAGGTACATCTCAAGTATATGAATAAATGTGCCAATTGCATCCTGTTAATCTTCTATATCAAATGCCAAGTCCTTAGGCTGGGTCTCAAGGTTGCTACAGGCAAGATGTAAAAATCTGACAGTAGTTGGAATGCTAGGTATCTGATAAACTATTTACAGAAGTCTCTAGGAAGGGGGACAAGGAAGTATATGAGCCTTATCTGAGGAAGATTTTCCATTCATGGACAGAGGCATTGTTTTTCTGAGTATGCTACTTGGTCGGTTCTCCTTAGTTTATTAAAGAACTTACAGTATTTGGTGTTAACTGTTCCCCCTTACACCAAAACTTATTAAAGTTCTTTCTTTATATGGGGTAAGCTTCCATTCCTGTCTGTTATTGTACTATAATAGTTCTTTCCCTCTCTACTTCTGGGATTCATTGCTCACTGCCTCCCATTTGTAATGAATGAAGAGAGAAGCTGTGCAAGAGAATGAGAAATGTTTTACCTGATTAATTTATTTCTGTTAGCCATTTATCGCTGTATTCAACTTGCCTTGGTAGTCTTGTAAATGACCAAAATATAAATTGAAATTGTTCTCTAAAAGGGGTCTTAGACATATATTTTCTTAAGATTAATTTAAAGTGTCATATCAAGTTATCTTAATGCTAATAATTGGTTACTGGAATGTTTCTGTGCCTGCAGAAGAACTCTTCTGGTGACATGAGCTGGAGGACAGTACTCATTTCTGTAGCTTCAGGAGCTGCATTGGACCATTCTGAATTGCACAGATGGGGAAGGAGAGATGAGCCCATCAGTAATGAATTCAGAGAGAAGCAACTTACAGAAAATTATTAGATATGAAATCTCTCATTACCAGTCTTCAATAATGCCAAAATTTTCAAACAGCTCTGCTCACTGTGGTTCTTCATTGAGACACTTTTGGTCACTAGAAAGTCACTATTAATCCCTGCATGTTGTAACTGCTTATACCATGCCTGTATTTGGGCCTTGATAGTTTTTGGATTACTATCAAGATCTGAGGGCTTTCTGAAAAACCCTATCCTAAACTGGAAGTTCAAATTCAGATACATTTTCCACTGAATATTGACCACTATGTGTGAACTTACAAATTATTTATAGATAGACAGATATAGTGCCAGCAGGATTTCAATGACAGATGTCATGTAACACCTTTACTTTGATTGACTTAAAGATCTCTCCTAGGTTATAGAAGGATTTCTGGAGAAAGAGGTCCAACCTTCAGTCTACTTGGGAATTGCATGGCGCACACCATTCCTGGCAAATATATAAGAGAATATTCAAGATGAATGAGTATTATTGCTTTTGTGTTTTCATTTAGGTCTCTTTGGTTAGCTTAACAGCTAATGCCTTGGGCTACTCAGAACTTGGTGCGATTAAATCCCTTAGGACCTTAAGAGCTTTGAGACCTCTAAGAGCCTTGTCACGATTTGAAGGGATGAGGGTAAGACAAAATGAAAAACCTGAAATAATGCATGCCTAAAAAGAAACTATACCTGCAGAATAAGGAATCACAAAACCATGCAAATTGTTACACTATTTTCTTATCACTTGCATATTTATCACTAACAGATAAGCAAAAAGCTTAATTGTTTATGTAAATTCATATGTTATATCACACATTAATATGCTCATGTAGGTTATTTTACCTCTCATTCAATTTGGAATTTTCCTGTAGGGTCCTCGGACTCATCAAGTACATGGATGTATTGTGAATTACTAAAAATATATGCGGCTAAATTAAAGTTTAATTTATCCCATATAATTCCCTCCTCATATGTATACTGCAAGTGTGTGTGTGTATTTTATACACACTTCATTTTAGATAGATAGATAGATGATAGATAGATAGATGTTTGTATGTGTGCATGCACAGATGTATCACATCATGCATATTTATAAAAATATAATTCTTTTTACATAATATTTTAATAGAAAATTGAAATGTGTTTTTGTTAGAATTTCAGATCTTTGTGCTTTTACTATATAAGAACATAAGAATGGCCATACTGGGTCAGACCAATGGCTCATCTCACACAGTATCCTGTCTTCTGACAGTGGCCAATGCCAAATGCTTCAGAAGGAATGAACTGAACAGGCAATTATTGAGTGATCCATCCCCTGCTGTTCACTCCCACCTTCTGGCAGAGACAGGCTAGTGACACTCAGAACATTGGCTTGCATCATTCAACATCTTGGCTAATGGCCATTAATGGTCATATCCTTCATGAACTTATCTAGTTTGTTTTTAATTCTGTTATAGTTCTGACTTCTGCAACATCCCATTTTGCACAAGTTGACAGTGCATTGTGTGGAGTACTTTCTTTGTTTTAAACCTGTCGCATATTAATTTCCTTCAGTGACCATGGGTTCTTGTGTTATGTAAAGAAGTAAATAACAATTCCATATTAACTTTCTTCAAACCAGTCAATATTTCATAGAACTCTGTAATATTTCTACTTTGTCTTCCTTTTTCTAAGCTGAAAAGTCCCAGTCTTTTTACAAAATCCATAGCTGTGGCACTGACTTGAAAATATAAATTGTCCCCAAATTGGAAATAATTGTGGGTGAGTGGGTGTCAGAGCCCCTCTGCCATGTATATTGGCCAAACTGGACAAAGGATTAATGGACACAAATCAGATATTCAGAAAGAAACACACAGAAATCTGTTGGGGAACATTTTAACTTGCCTGTGGAACTCACTAATGGATCTCAAAGTTTCCATATTATTTCAAGCCAATTTTGAAAACAGCTTGAAAGGAAAGCTGCAGAACTTAATTTCATTTACAAGTTTGATACCTACAATAGAGATTTAAACAAAGACCTTAACTGGATTACCTGCTACATTCCATATCCAAATGACATAAAAAGTCAAACACAAGGTACTTAAGGGTACTTAGAACCCTATCAGCTTCATTTAGCATGGAAACTCTAATTGATTATTATTTTCCCATTTTTCTCCTTTCCTTTCCCTCTCTATCTCCTCTCTTTTTCTGCTATATATTTGGAACCTGGACTCCTTAAACTCCATTCATCTGAAGAAGTGGGTTGTGCCCACAAAAGCTCATGATACCATCTACATGCTTTGTTAGTCTCTAAGGTGCAGCAGGACTATTCATTGTTCTTTAAGTTTTTTTCTATTGCAGACTAACTCGGCTACCCCTCTGAAACCTGTGAATCCATCAAATAGCAATATTACAATATAATATTATTTACACATTAGTTTTATGCTGATTGTTACTTCCAGTGAGCATCAATATCGTGTTATTTATATATGTGCAGAAAATTATATTCTACACATTTTTTAAAAGTCTGCCAAGTTATTCTTTAGAAGCCAGGTTTAAACATCCCTAAAACAATATGGACCAGCAATGTCCGTTGAGTCAGGATCCCACTGAAGGATGGCATGGGATATTTCTATTAGTACTTTCTGTAAGCAGGGCTGACATGGGGGGACATGAAGGGTCTTGTTCTCCTCCAGATGAGGGGAGGAGCAGCTGGCAGACAGAGCCGTCCCATCCATAGGATGGTTCTTTCAACTGTCCTGGGCCCTGTGCTTTTGGGGCTCCCGTGTGAGGCCCAGAGGTCAACAGCAGAGGGTCAAGCCTCACTGGCAGCAGTGAGAAGTGGAGTGGCTGCAGCACACTCCACTTCCCCAACTTCCAGCTGTGTTGCTCAGGGGAAGGGGCTGGGCAAGGGGTGGGACTGACCCCCACCCTGTACTCACCAGTGCCAGGAAGTGGAGTGATATGGCTAGGAGCTAACGGAGCAGAGCAGACTGGGGTTGGGTTGCTCTGTTTCCCACTGCCCCTGGTGCTTGTGGGGGTGGGGGGAGAGAGGAGGGCAACCCCTACTGCTGGTGCCAGGCCACTGGCTATTCACCTGGGCTGCATCACTCAGGGAAGGGGGCTTACAAGAATTGGTAAAGGGCATGAGGAGGTGGGGCAGGGGCAAAGCACGGGCAGAGGTTTGGGAAAAGGGACAGAATGTGGGCAGAGTGAGGGCAGGAAGAGGCAGATCCCTTCCCAGGCTAAGGTAACATAGGGAAAAATCAAAGTGGGGGGGCCGATCATGTGGCTGGTGCCCTCCTTGTGTCCCTGCTCAGAAGTTGCCACTCTCTGTCAGTGTTCTTTCTGGATGGGCGTCAGATAGATAGGACATCAGGCAGAGTGCAGTACACTTGTGCAGAATCATAAATTGGCTATTCCTATTTTCATGGCCAGCATCATTCATTGCTGGTTGATATAAACCCACTGTTCTCCTGTTGTCTTTTTTTTTTTTTCAGACAATGGAGGAAAGTCACTAACATCTTTCTGTACTGTTAGTTTGTCTTCCCAGGAGAACTTTTTGCTATTAGGAACCTGACCACCAATTTTTTCATTAGTGGAACCAAGGATGTATTTAGCCCAGTGTTTTCCTTGATTCTTTGTTTTATGTTTTGTGCTTTGTCAGAGATTCATAATTTAAAGCTGGTGCTATAGCTTCAGGATTCAGACTGAAAAAGGAAAAAGTAGGTCAATTCTGGAAGTGCAGCAGTTATGAAAGGCAAACACATGACTGGGTATGAAGATGTAAGAGAGAGATACAGACACTGTGGGTGTAATGAAATACAATGCCTGAGGCCAGATGCTTTCCCCCCATAACAGATTCTTTATTTCTTCATAACTTTTCTCCTGGATGTGTGGCATTATTATCCTTATGAAATGGCACAGTCCTATTTTTAAGTAAAAATGTCAATGGACTTAACATTTGAAAAGATTTGGTTAAGAATATGTTTAATTGTTATAAAAATTCTTAAATTTCAATTAAAATTTTGGAAAGTATTTCAGAATGTCTATAATTTGACTAAATCCTTCAGACCCTTATTTTTACAGTAAAAATGCCCACTATCCATGGGAGCTATGCGGCAACGAAACCTAAAGGGATCTAGATTACTGATTTTAAATATTAAATTATTTCCATATTAGTGCTCAATGGTGAATTTCTGTGAGTCTGAGTACCTCTCTGGAATCCCCTCTGAGTGCAGTCTGGGCTCTAGAACTGCTATGTCCTCATAATTTTCCAGCCTGGTGCTTTGTTATGTGACCTACCATTCTGCTCATTCACCCAGACTCTAACATACAAGTCACCTTTCACTCAGGTGCCATGCCCCAGAGTGCTATGCCTAGCCATTTTTGAATTATATATAAGGCAACACCTGCATCCCCTTTACACTCTAGAATGTACTGCTAGAAATGTACTGCCTTGTACTGCTCAGTTACTTTCTGAGTAATACAAGCTCATAAAGTCTGTCATTTATCAAAGAAAATGAATACGCACCAGCCTTTATTAACCTGAATAGATTCCCCAAGCCCTTCAGCCAAAACCACACTGATATAGATTAAATATCAAAATAAGTTCATTAACTATAGGAAGATGGAGTCTATGTGATTCTAAGTGGTTTATGAATAGAAAAAAGAAAAAAGGAGCAAATTTCAGCTGCCACATTTTTTTATGTATGTGAGACATCTTTTGATCTGCAACACATCATTTCAATCCACGCTGCCATACATTTGTGTTATATATCAAAAAAGAATGGTAAGACATAACCCTGGAAATTTATAGACATGGGTTCTAGTTCTCAGTCTGCCACAGAATTCTTGTGTAACCCTGAGCAAGTACCATCTGTGCTTCAGTATCTTCATCTGTAAATAATATTTATCTAAGGATGTGAGACTAATTAATGGTATTTGTAAAAATGCTTTGAGGAAAGTTGCTGAAATAATTTTATTTTAGATCATTTCATCTATTATCTCTTTGCATGTTTCAGTTTGATTTGCACTCTGTTATTGTTTTGACTAACTTAATGGAATTGTAAAAGCTGTAGGTGGAAAAGATCTTTCCCGTCATCAAATTCATTTAACTGAAAATGCAAAATTGTTTCCATTATACCTTTTTAAACCTGGACAACAAATACTTCATTTTAATGGGCCAATCAGATCCCTGCTCAAAAACCTCTAATTAATTCACCTCTAACTTTCCCCTTTTTCATTTTCTAGTAGTTTGTCCAATATAAATCTAAGCGTATCAGGCAAAGAGACTTCCTCCATTTCCTTAGGGACACTTTTCTACAGTATAATAGATTTACAATCTGGAAGTCATTCTTAATTTCATCCTGTGATAGCCTTCTGATTTGTAGAAATATATTTCTGGTTATGTGTTCAAAAAATCAATTGAATTGTAGGTCAGGTTACACTAGAGATGCTATTTATTATCTTTTTGATGTATGCCACAGTGCATCTGCTTGGAAGTCCAACATTGCGTTGATAGTTGTGCTTCTAGTGTCATTGGCTTTTTTTTTCTGCTCTCTCCTATCTAAGGTTATGTCTACACTACCATAGTAAATCAACCTCAGGTACACAACTCCAGCTACATTAATAACATAGTGCAGCACGTTTACACCTCAGGGATGGGGGAGTCTGATCCATTTGCCATTTTAGTCAATAACAGTCTTTTAATTGACTTCTGTAGAAGTTAGAGTAGATGGATGCTTTGCTTTATTATTCTGGTTGCAGACAGAGGGGAGTTTGTTTTTTGTTTTTACAAAGTGTTAATTATTTTAACCTTTTTAGTCATTATTAATCTAATAATTAAGTAAACCCACTTCATCATTTTTAATGAGCATAGTTTTTCCCTTCTGTTTTTTTTACCCTGGCATATTTATAAAAGTCCTTAAATACTTTGGTTAACAATAAGCCAGTCTTACATTTTGTTTAATTTAGGCTCGATTCATTTTCCACTGAAGCCAGTTGGGAATAAAATAAAGTCTCTTTTTCGAAGTCTTAACTGTTTTTGAGTATTCTTATTTGGGTACCTACCTGGTTTTCCATTTGTATTAATTACCACCAAATGTCTTAAACATTTTCATATTGATTTTCTGACTTCTAATTTTCTATTAATTAAAATGAATTACACTCAGTGACAATGTTATTTAGAGGGAAATTTGAAATTGTTTATCAAACTAAACACATAATACACACTTTGATTTTACTCTTTTTAATGTAAAGGTTGCTGCAGTCTTTAGAAGAATAATGCATAAATAAATAAGACAATAAGTGTGCACCAATTGTAGGATTACATAAATTAAACAATTTTACAGAATTAAATCATCCTTTTTTCTATTTTTGCCAAGTTTATTTTCATCATTTAGTCTTTCATGTCACCATTCTTTCTTTAAACCTATGATTTTCTACATTATTTATAGTTTCCTTCATGCTTGTGTTTAACATGTATTTCTTTTTTCCTTTATTAGAGTATTCAAATTATAAAACAACATACTATCTAAAACAGGTTTTTATTTATTTTATACTTTTTTTGCTTTCTATCTAGGTTTTAAGTTTATTTTATCTTTGGTTCTTAAATTAATTGTAGACGTTATTTTCACCAATTGAAAAGCAGGTGAAAGCAAATTTAAAATACTGTATTACATTTTAAGAAAGTTTGATTAAAATTGGTAACATATCTAATTATTTTATTGCTATACATATTCTTACACTGTTTCTACTCTTTTCCTTTATATGCTAGGTCGTTGTGAATGCCCTCTTAGGAGCAATTCCATCCATTATGAATGTGCTTCTTGTTTGTCTTATATTCTGGCTAATCTTCAGCATCATGGGAGTAAATCTGTTTGCTGGCAAATTCTATTACTGTATTAATACCACAAATGATGAGAGGTTTGATATCAGCCAAATCAACAATTACAGTCAATGTGAGGACCTCATAAAAAACAATGAAACTGCCCGATGGAAAAATGTTAAAGTAAACTTTGATAACGTAGGACTTGGCTATCTTTCTCTGCTTCAAGTAGTAAGTGACTATAATATGGTTCTTGTGTTTACTTGTAGTGAAGAGTAATTTCTCAGTGTTTCTTGTCACTAACCTGTCCTGCATTTAAAAAATATACTTTGTTCGCTACTGTGCCATGAAACTCCTTACATATGGTAGGAATGCTGAGAACAATTTTTTAAAAGACAGATACCTACAGGCATTTATATCTAGCTGTAGAAGAGATCTCACATAGGCAGAAGTGAACATTCACAATATTTGTTGTCTCTCCTTTTGCAAATGGGATTCACTTCCAACTTGCAGTTCATTTCAATTTCCTATATTGTCTCCTTGTATTATGGACAGCAAGTTTGGCAGGTATATATGCTATTAAAAGTATATGACTAAAATCACACATCCAAACATAGAAAAAAAAAATGAAGGTGAGATGTTGTGGAAAGAAGTAGTGGAACTGAGTGGCAGTAGTGGGGTCCCTTTAAGGAAGAGTGTGGGTCTTGAACACATTGTAGGAAACAGAAGAGCTGACTGGTTGCCGAGTTTCCATGACCAGAACTTGCTGGGAAGTTAAAGGTGTTTCCAAGGTTTAATGAGGAGCGCTAAGTGTGGTTTCAACTCTGAAGCACTGTAGCTTTAACTTTTGGGAATGCCATATATTTTTTGTTTTTTCTTATACTCGTACTTTTGCTTTAAGAAACAAGTTTAAAAATGCATTCTGTAAACTTATAAATATTAACCAAATCCTTACTTATTGCCACAAAACAAGGAATCACACCATTACATGCAGTGGCGTAGTGAGCGGGCGGAGGACAGTTGCCCCCGGGCGCCACATTAGGGGGGGTGCCAATTTAGTCCCCCTCTGATTCCATCATTCTTCAGCTCGCGTGCTCTTCCTCTGCCCTCCGCCACCATCTAGAGTCTCCTCCCCACCTCTCCACCCCCAGCCCAACCCTCCTCCATCTTTGCTGGCAGGGGAAGGGGAATACACGATACAAGCTCCCCCACCTCTCCTCCTAGAGTCAGACACAGCTGTGCACCAGGTTCGGGGCCCTCCAAGTGGCAGTAGTGGGACAGAGGTGCAAATTTTTCCTTTGCCCCCAGGTGCATAGCCCCCTCACTACACCTCTGATTACATGAAAACATGCTTAGCACCTCTTGAACACCTTTTGATCTGTTTTTGTTTCTGGCTGACATCTCCAAAAAGCCTTGAGAATACATCAGTTCAATCTGGAAGGCTTATTTCACCATTACTACTACTTTTGCCCTATGGTACAAATTTGGGAGACATAATTCACCATATATCTTAAGTAACTTTATCTATATTTGTGTAATAATTGGTAGTAATCCATTTGTAGCAATGGTAGGACAAATTAGTTACTCCTGATCTAAAGGTAAAATGATACCCATGCACTCAAATGACTACAAAGTAACCTATTTAAGTATTCAGCATTTGGAGCAATTGGTCTCTGGGCTTAATACACATACTATCAATGCTTCCTCTGTCACTACAAGGATGTGTGGTAGGATTGCTACAGAGGAGGTAAATGAGCCCTGGGATATGCAGTGAGACACATGGAGTAACCACTGCTACTGTTGAGTAAATAGTATATTTGAGCACCAGAACTTATCAGTGTTCCCTCTAATTTTCCCCACATGTGTGGAATGAATTTTGTTATGTACACCAATATGGAGGTACTGAGAGATTTGGACTGTGGGAGAGAGCTCAAGGCTGGGGCAGAGATTTGGGATGTTGGGGTTGTGAGATCTCCAGCTGAGGGTGTGGATGGAATGTGGGATTTGGGGAAGAGGGGAAGATGGGATTACCATGGCCAAGCAAGGGGTGCCTATCCTGTGGGCCCAGCTCCAGAGCTGCCAAGGTGGGGAGAGGCATTTCTTCCCCTCATCTGCAGCAGCATCTGTGCTGAGGATGAGAGGCACTTCTGCCTACTGTGGCAGCTCCAGGACTGGGCCCATGGGATAAGCACCCCCCACCCCCCGGCTGCAGCAGGTTCAGGCCAGGCTAGGCTAGGACCAGGGAGAGGAACCTTTCCCCTGGCTAATGCAGGTCTAGGTTGGGTGGGTTCCCTGAGTGCCTACATTGTGTTTAATATGTTGCTGTGTGCTCATGCAGCATACTGGGAACTTAACTCGTGACATGCAGAGTACATTTTACAACTATGGAGGTGTACCATATAATAAATATGTAGTCAGCTAAATGCAATACCTATGTACAATCTTTTACAATGGAGGATGATATATCTATTTAAAATTCTCATCTGAATTTGTACCATCGGAAACAAAGTTACATTGAGCGGGGGATGTATTATGGTTTATAAGATGTAAACTGTTCTTGATTTCAGTTACAGCTGAGTTGGCTTTTTGCACTTATATGTATTCATATGTATGCATATTTATTATACTGATTATATCCATGGTTATTCCTTGTGTCACAGCTGTATACACATGGCAGTAAACACATTCTGTGCAAATATATATGTATTTTAGTACAAAAACTAACTCTATCGTAACAGTGAAAGTCAAGAGCAGACTATATCATAGAACATGATACATCCCCACACAGAAAGTATCTTTGTTTCCAATAATGTGTATGCAGATGAGAATGTTTAATAAATATATTATATCTTGTAGTAAAAGATTATGTATTTTATTTAGCTGATTATGTATGTATTATTATTATTTATGATTCTTGTATGTAAATAAAGAAACAAGGTGAAAGCCAAATATTTGTCTTGTACCATACACATATTTTAAAATGAATATGAACATAGTTTGTTTTCAGTTCATAAACAGTATGTCCAGTTAAGCCAGTTTCTAAGGACAGCAGAAGTTGAGTACATATGTTTTGTTTATAGGCCACATTTAAAGGATGGATGGATATAATGTATGCAGCCGTGGATTCTCGAAATGTAAGTATATTAGCTTCGATTGTGTGAACTCTGTGATCACAGTAATGAGTGGCACTGGAAATGAGATAACATGAAGCTATATAGTTCCATCAAGCACAAAAAGTAGAAAAGAGTATGAAAATACAAAACAGAAGGAGATCTGGGAAGATTTTTATGGTCTTATATACTCTGTAGCACAACAGGACAAAATTCCACTGTAACTTTAACTTATTTTCTTTTCCCATGAAATATCCTTGGCTCTTAAGCGGACACTGATGAAGCTATGACTCATAGTTGGAAAGTCATTGATGTAAAATTTGTAGGCAATTATTTGCAAGAATTTATTTTCAAGGATGAAGTTGTTTTTCAAGAAGCTTGGCTCCACTCCTTAAGCCTCAGTTCCTGTACTGTTCTGTGCTCCTTTTAGCTCATCAGTTTATCCTTCTTTCTCTCTCTGCTGTCAGGCTACATTCAGGTTGTCTGTGTCTAGACTGGCAAGTTTTTCCGCAAAAGCACCTGTTTTTGCAGAAAAACTTGCCAGCTGTCTACACTGGCCGCTTGAATTTCCGCAAGAACACTGACGATCTCATGTAAGAAATCAGTGCTTCTTGCGGAACTACTATGCTGCTCCCATTTGAGCAAAAGTCCTTTTGCACAAAACTTTTGCGCAAAAGGGCCAGTGTAGACAGCTCAGATTTGTTTTGCGCAAAAAAGCCCCGATCACGAAAATGGCGATCGGGGCTTTTTTGCGCAAAAGTGCATCTAGATTGACACGGAGGCTTTTCCGCAAAAAGTGCTTTTGTGGAGAAGCGTCCATGCCAATCTAGACGTTCTTTTCCGCAAATGCTTTTAACGGAAAACTTTTCCGTTAAAAGCATTTGTGAAAAATCATGCCAGTCTAGACGTAGCCGTTATGTCTAGACTGCAGGCTTCTTTTGGAAGAAGCTTTTTTGGAAGACATTTTCTGAAAAACTTCTTCTGAAATAGAGCATCCATACTGTCAAAGCACATCAAAAAAGCAATCTGCTTTTTCGAAAGATAGCATCCACACTGAATGGATGCTTTCTCTCATTTAAATCTGTGGAGCCACCAGTGCACCTGTGCTTTTTCTGCTTTCCTCTTCTTTTGAAAGAACTCCCTCTTCCCCATCCACACATGCCTTTTTCAGAAAGAGCTCTTTCGGAAAAAGACTTCTTCCTCATAGAAAGAGGTTTACCAATGTCAGAAAAAACCCTCTGTTCTTTCAATTTTTTTCGAAAGAACGTGATTTCAGTGTGGACGCGAGTGAAGTTTTTTCAGAAAAATTACCATTTTTCTGAAAAATCTCTGCAGTGTAGACAAACCCTCTGGTCCCAAACCTCCTGCTCCTATAATTCTATTAACTCCCTTGTTTCAGTTAAAAGTGGTCAGAAGGGGCAGCTGAAGGGAGGCCTTGCCAGGAAAGGAAAACAAAATGTCTGGAGCCTAGCTATATCAAAATGCCAGATTCAATGACAGAAATGATGGACTCCACCATGGTATCTTTGAAAAAAGTCAGTTTATATGCCCCTGGAATTGCAGAAACCTCAAGAAACTGACAGAGAAAAATGGACCAGTTCACACCTCTTAGAGCATGGGTAATCTGTTATATTTTGTCTGGATCCAAACTTCTTGGTCTAAGTGCTGACTCCAGAGAAAATAGTATAACAGATAGATTTCAGGTTCTTTCCAAAAGCATCTGGCAATTTGGATTTGGCCTGCAGTCTGCCTACTGACTACCCAGTCTCAAAGCTAATGTTTCAGGTTGTCTATAGATTGAGGCAGATGACCAAAGGCTGCTGATGCGAGAAGAGAAAGGAGACAATTGCCCCAGGGACCAGCAGTTTAAAAGGGACCAGGGTTCCAGGCCACCACCACTGCTAGGGTACGTCTAGACTACCGTGTTTTGTCGACAGAAGTTTTGTCGACAGATACTGTCGACAAAACTTCCGTTGACAAAGAGCGTCCAGAAACATTGAGTTCTGTCGACAAAGCAAGCTGCTTTGTCGACAGAACTCCATAGTCTGGACGCAATGTTACAGGCAATAACACCTTCTGTCGACAGAGTTCTGTCGACAGAAGGTGTTATGCCGCGTAAAATGAGGTATACCAGCGTCGACAAAACTGCTGAGTTCTGTCGACGTTATGTCGACAGAACTCAGTGGTAGTGTAGACGCTGGGATAGTTTTGTCGACAAAAGTCCACAGCATGATCTAGGTGGCACTTGGTGGGGAAGGCCAGCCCCTAGCCCTGCCCTTTTCACCCAAGGTTCTGCCCTTTTCAGGGGGCCCAGAGCCAAGCCCCACCCCCCAGCATTGCCCAGGGTGCAGTAAAGTCTGTTGCCAGCCCTGCCGGTGTTGTGTTTGTTTACACTCATTTCACATTTTCAAGTGTTTTTTTTTTCAACCACCATCAGGGCTAGAAACTGATTTTTTAATGAACACTCAGACTGTGGAAGAGTTTCATGGCAGGGAGGTAAATTCTGGAGCTTCAGAATCAGAGTACATTGAGTCTAGTTCATAAGATGGATGAGTCAGAATAATGGAGCCTTAGGGTTATATAACAAATAAGGCTTCTGACATGTAGTTTTCACACATGTTTTTTAGGTATTGGATCAGCCTAAGTATGAAGACAACCTGTATATGTATCTTTACTTTGTCATCTTTATCATCTTTGGATCATTCTTCACCCTGAACCTTTTCATTGGTGTCATCATAGATAATTTCAACCAACAAAAAAAGAAGATAAGTATTTTGTCGCTGTTCTAAAAAAAAGCTAAATACAAAATTATTGCTTGTTTTGGTGCCTACCATACAATGAATTACTGTAGTGACTTCAGATCAGAAAAAATATTAAACTTTTTACTTTTTCTGATGAACATTTATTATCATTTTCTGTAACATGCAGTATGTAATGTAAATGGCTTTAACTATAATCATTCCATGTAACATTGCAGGATGGATGAATTAGAAAACCATACACATGAGCATGTATAGCCAAATTAGAAAAAAGAAAAAAGTCCATATCTTAAAAGTTATCTTATTAAAAAAAAAGCTAGAGATTTAAAAAATGTTGGCTACACTGATGTTTGAGATCTCTCAAATGTAAATGTATAATTCTTAGTTGTAGGCATCATGTTATCCTTTGTACTCTATTGAGTCTTAATTTTTGCTGTAGTGCTAAATAAATACTATCTGTACTTGAGCTACAGGACTAAATACATTAGACCACAGCAGGAAAAGACTGTCATCCCAGATGGGGAACGAGGTTGGCATGGGGGGAACCCAGTCTGACTTAGTTTTCTTTGCTGGCCCCCACATTGATCAGTTGGGTGAGCTTCTGTCCCATGTGGTGATATTGTGGGTAGAGCGGGAAGGGTTGCTGAGTCCATGTTGTACTGGGTCTAGGAAGGCAGGGAGTCCAGTCTGACTCTGTTTGCCCCCTGCAACATTTACCATGCCTTCATTGGCAGCTCCTGTGTATACTCAGTACAGTATGTGCTGCTGTTTTGGCACAGGTATGAGCCAGGACATAGAATATTCATATTTATTTATTATTTAGGCATTTTCCTAAGGAGCAAACACAAGAGAAGGAAAGGGTTTTTTTCACATTTCATGCCTTGGCAAAATCTGAAGAAATTGCATGGGACAAAGAAAAGGCACGTCTGTTACCTCAGTGCATCCCCCCTGCAAAATATTGAAGACTTTCTGTAAACACTGGATGTTTGAGAGCTTCTCAAAGAAAAAGTTACAAAAATCTTATAGAATGGAAAGTGTCAGGCAACCTAAATTCAGGAGCTACTACCAGTTCCCCATATACTGACAAATAAAGATAAGCGCGCAAGTCAGTGTTTATGCCCATTCAGTCCTTGATATCTGCTAAGAGTGAGAACATGAATGATAATACTAATTTTATGGTGATTGTAACTAATCAATGGAGTTACATGGTTGTAACCAGTTTTGATTTCATTTCTTTACTTTGGAGGCCAAGACATCTTTATGACAGAAGAACAAAAGAAATATTACAATGCAATGAAAAAGTTGGGTTCCAAGAAACCACAAAAACCTATACCTCGGCCAGCGGTAAGAATGAATGTATTTCCCTCCCCTAGTGTTTAAATAATGTATTGGCTTACGTTTCACCTAAAGCAAACTTTGTCTCCCTTTAAATACAAATGGATTTTTTTAAACTAAACTTCTTGGTTGTGGAGGACCCTTCTTTTGCTTTGAATTATCACTCTACAGCTGTTGGAAGACTAGAGGGATTGTAGGTGGCGTCCTTCAAAACACTCATCTGTCTAAAACAACTAACTTCCAGCTCAAGTCCTGTGAGTGTTAAATGTGTCAAGATCTTAGCAAGGAAACCTCTTCTCAGGCCAAGAGGGGTTCTGCAGCTATTATGTGGAAGCCATGTCATATGTCTCTTACATGTCTGTAATTTGATATACAGAACTGGAGTATCTGCAGTGGTGGATGCTTGGCCTCTCTTCCACAGCCTACAGGAGCAGCTACGCAGTACAGCTCTGCACTGCTCAAAGTGTGCACCTACCTCATGCAAAAAACCCTGCATTTCCTGTTCTGTGTGTAGTGGAACCGTACTGATTTAGCTATATCTTCAACAGCTGTCCAGAGGAAAAGATTTGCTCTAATGAATATTTTATACTTAATTGAGGCTGAAGATTTTATTAGTGATACAAAAATATCGGACATGGACAAAAAGTAAACTTGTTTGCCTGTTTTGCCAAAGCTGAACTTTTTTTTAGTCTGGTGTATCACTAACATGCATATATTAAAATGAATGTCAGTAAGACAACCAAATCTCGTAGCTTTGAAAATCTTTCCTTTAATATGTGTAAGTAGAATCTTTGGAGGCCTAACTACTGAATTTGTGTGAAAAAGTATGTGTATGCATACTAAAAGGAGACACTTAAAATGCACTTCTGAGTGTACAACTAATAATAATATATAACACCAATACAGTTAAGCTTGGAACTGATTTTTATCAGTAAATGTCTGTAAATGTTGATTTCACTGTAAACACATAAACCAATGAAAAATATTTCAAAATATTTCAAAAATAAATACGAATTTACAGATAGATGAAGTAAGAAAAACACTCCTTGAAAATTTATTAGCGTTTGATTTGTGAATAATTACTTTGTATATTTTGGTGTGATGTTGACAATCTGTGTTTAACAGTTATTGAACTTTAATTTTTTTAAATCCCTGTGTCTGCTGTCATTAAATAATTGTCAGATTGTATTGTCTCACCCCCCATGACTGAAAATTTAAATTGATAAACTTTGAAAAAATGGTTAAAACATTGGTGTCATTTGTTGAAATTATAAAAAATAAAAATTGAGTTCCACTAAACCATAGATTTAGTTAATTTATTTGTAGCAATTTGGGAATGAAATTTATATCCCAGGTGTAGGCATGATGCATTCTTTTTTATCCACAGAACAAATTCCAAGGCATGGTCTTTGATTTTGTGACAAAACAAGTATTTGACATCAGCATCATGATTCTTATCTGCCTTAACATGGTCACCATGATGGTAGAAACAGACGACCAGAGTGATGAGATGCAAGATAATTTATGGTGGATTAACCTTGTGTTCATTGTCCTTTTCACTGGAGAATGTATTTTGAAACTGATTTCACTCCGTTATTACTACTTCACCATAGGGTGGAACATTTTTGATTTTGTAGTTGTCATTCTCTCCATAGTAGGTAAGTACAGTTTACTTTAAGAAGGGACTAAAAAAGTGAAAATTAAAAATTTGTTTTAAGAATTTTAAGTTCCTTAACATTTGACTTGAAGAGAGTCAGATTCTTTAGTTTATCATTTTTCTTGTACCATATTGTGCATTTAATAAAAGAACTGTATATTAAGAAATTCATTTCAATTAAGAATAAGATTTGATTATCATTTTCGGTATCAGAAATTAAACAGTAAGTTTTTCAACCCTCCAGAATTGTCCTGGAGTCTCCAAGAATTAAAGAATATGTCTTGTGATGAAACCTCAAGGAACACATCCAACCAAAATTGGCAACCGTATCAGATCCCAACTCTGAGTGCATTAGAAATTGCATATCACTCCAGTATTGAAACAAACCAGTAAATGGAAAGTCTGTTTTGAGGAAATGAACACACTTTATTAGTGGTACTCACAGGGAAAAATTGTGCAACAATGAGATGATAGTCAGCATTAACAGCAAAAGAACCTTCTCATTTTACTCTTTAGTGTTGACAGCATGACCCGAAATAGCAAGTCAACAACCCTCACCCTTTCTGCTGTAGAGCAGGGGCAGCCCGTCCATATAGGTGAACTAGGCGGTCGCCTAGGGCGCCACATTAAATGGGGCACGAAATGGTGGCACAATATCGTTGAGGGGTTTGGAGGTGGGGGCGCCAATTGCATGGTTCGCCTAGGGCACCAGTTGCTGGCAGCTAGTCTAGGGCCGTCCCTGCTGTATAGCCACCTCTGTCACTTACACCTGAGGGCTCCTTGCCTATTAATTCAGGAGCACCAAAGGAAAGAACAGGGCTGGAGCAAGTGTATCTACAAAGATGTAGTTCAAATGGCCTATTTCTCTGTCTAGATCACAGGAACAGAAAGGGCTGCCTGGAATAGGTACGAATCCTTCTCCCTGGTCTTGCAGGATTCTTCAGTCTATGATCTGGTTTTATGGCCTATGATTTAGGAACAGGATGTGACCTATTGCTATCTTTTCAGTGGCTGGAAAGGTCACACTTTTTCTGCTTCTTTGATGTCATAATAAAGACATTTTCTGCCACTTTTTCCTTCTAGGAAGGCTTTCATTGCTGGTTTATTTACATACTGGTTTGCTGTGGAATTCCCACTAAATGTACAGCCACATTATTTCATGGGTGATTAAAGAGTTAAGTACTTATATAATTTATATATTTAATTTAAATAATTTCATTTTAATGGATTGCATTGTAATTCACTATCAGAAACTATAAATAGGGCATTCCTTCATCTTAATATAGATTACTTCTATTACAATTAAACAGAAAAATATTCTACAAACTTCAGTATCCCCCAATCTATTCAATAACAGATCAGAGAAGTTTATTAGTGGACACCAGTTTCAGATAAAAATATATAGACATGCCATCTAAATGTATAAACCTCTTTGATACACTTTTACAAAATCCTGCAAAGTGGAGACATTCTGGCTGAATTTTTTAAGATTTGCATAGCATGCCATACTGTAAGTTTGGTTAAAATGAACTAAAAGTCCACAATGCAAACTTCTACTATTTGAATGTTTGCTTCACTTCTCATTGGTAAAATCTGTATTGAACAGTACAAATCTTTAGTAGTTGCCACTACGTTTTAATATATATTTTACTAACTAATTTATTTTTAACAGGTATGTTTCTGGCTGACCTGATTGAAAAATATTTTGTGTCCCCCACCTTGTTCAGAGTTATCCGACTTGCCAGAATAGGACGAATCCTGCGTCTCATTAAGGGTGCAAAAGGGATCCGCACTCTGCTTTTTGCTTTGATGATGTCTCTTCCTGCTTTGTTTAACATTGGTCTCCTGCTTTTTCTGGTCATGTTTATCTATGCTATATTTGGAATGTCCAACTTTGCCTATGTTAAGAGGGAAGTTGGGATTGATGACATGTTCAACTTTGAAACTTTTGGAAATAGCATGATCTGCTTATTTCAAATTACCACGTCAGCTGGTTGGGATGGCTTGTTAGCACCAATTCTTAACAGTGGAGAACCAGACTGTGACCCTAATAAAGATCACCCAGGAAGCTCTGTTAAAGGAGACTGTGGTAACCCTTCAGTTGGGATTTTCTTTTTTGTCAGTTATATTATCATATCATTTTTAGTTGTAGTAAACATGTATATTGCTGTTATTTTGGAGAACTTCAGTGTCGCCACAGAAGAAAGTGCTGAGCCCTTGAGCGAGGACGACTTTGAGATGTTCTATGAGGTTTGGGAAAAGTTTGATCCAGATGCAACTCAGTTCATAGAATTCAGTAAACTCTCTGATTTTGCAGCTTCATTGGATCCTCCTCTTCTTATAGCAAAACCAAATAAAGTTCAGCTTATTGCAATGGATCTGCCCATGGTGAGTGGGGACAGAATTCACTGCCTTGACATCTTGTTTGCTTTTACAAAGCGTGTTTTGGGGGAAAGTGGAGAAATGGATACACTTCGAATACAAATGGAAGATCGGTTTATGGCAGCCAACCCTTCTAAAGTCTCCTATGAACCGATCACAACAACATTAAAACGAAAACAAGAGGAAGTATCTGCTGTCATTATTCAGCGTGCTTTCAGACGTTACCTTTTAAAGCAAAAAATTAAAAAAGTTTCATGTATGTTTAAACAAGATAAAGACAAAGATGAGGATGACCTGCCTATGAAAGAAGAGATGATTATTGATAAACTGAATGAGAACTCCACTCCAGAAAAAACAGATATGACCCCTTCCACAACTTCTCCACCTTCCTATGATAGTGTAACAAAGCCAGACAAAGAGAAATATGAAAAAGACAAATCAGAAAAAGAAGATAAAGGTAAAGACATCAGGGAAAGTAAAAAGTAACAAAGAATTACATTGGTGATATGTGGTTTAAAGCCTGAGAAAGTGACATATTTGTGTCAACAAGACTCCTGTAATGAGGTCTATGCCAAACTGACAGTTTTTACTTATATAAATATATATATATAAAATGATTTTATATATATATATATACTTAAGGTCAGTGCCTATAACAAGACAGTGACCCCTCGTCATCAAACTGTGACTCTGTAAAACAGGGTAACAACCTTGACAGGAGGTTATTGTTTTCATTACCAGCTGATGCTGCTGAAGAGGAGACAAAATGGCTACTCAGACTGTAGGGACCAGTTTAAAAAAAAAGGTGCAAACCTCCAATTTCTGTTTAACAAAAACACTTGAGTACAATAATTGTATCCACTGTCTGCATTTCAACTGCTATATTTGCCATATTTTTACAAAAATTGGTGTTGGTGAATTTATCATTTTTTTTAATTCACAGGTTGTTTACTATTATATGTGACTATTTTTGTAAATGGGTTTTGTGTTGGGGAAGAGGATTTGAGGACCAGGTGTTCTATCCTCTGATTCTCTATAATGTACAGACAGAAGTGATTTGCATGAAGGCATGCTGCACTCATTGTACATGCATGGAAAACACATGACATCAGTCGCACAAAGCAAGAGTTTTAACTACTTCCATGTTTCAGGGTGGCTCGATATTTTGAGGTGCTTAATGAAAGTATTCATCTTGTGTCTCATCCAGACAAATTTTAATGTGCCTGTAAAGTCCCATAGAATCTACAATAATAAAACAGATATTTTATTTTTTCACAAGTCATTAAATTATAGTTGATACAAACTTCTCTGAGAAAAAACTGTTGACGATATAAACTTGATTTTTTTTTTTGTTAAGTGTTCTTCTGTGGAGAACAAAATACTCATTTAATCTAATCTAGAAAATTGAACTGACCAAAAAACGTCAACCTTTATAAAGCTGTTCTGCTTCACCCTGCAGTATCATTTAGCCATCTTCTACTCTCAGCAAGGTTGACATTGTATGTGTCAATGAAATAATATTGTCTATGTAAATAGTTACTTTACCACGTGGTGCATGTTTGAGCAAACAAATAATGACCTGAGCACAATATTTATTGCATCAAATATGTACCATGATAAGTGTAGTTTGCAAGCTTTCAACAGATAATATTATGTATTCTGTACCATTATAGATATTTTGCAGGCTATCACTGATGCATGTTTATCTTGCCTTTGCTGCTGTATTTTACTCCTTCCACTGTTCAAAAGTCTAATATGGGAAGCCATATGTCAGTGGTAAAGTGAAACAAATTGTTCAACCAGAAATCATTCCTTCATATCATCAAGCAATAGTTTGCAGCTATTAAAGAGCTTCTTGCTTTGCATTCTTAAATTTTACGTGACTACTGTACGGTGTATAGCCAGACTGTACAGGACATGTTGCAAACTGCTTAATCTGTTGAAAATACATGGATAGAATTTTCTAAGAAAATATAAATACTGTAAAAATATCATTTTATTTTATTTTTCAGCATTTTGTACATAGAATCAGAAATTAAAATTATCTTCAGGTTGATGTCACAGTCACTTTTGTTACTTTCTGTCCATAGCACTTTTTAATCAAAGAACTTCACAAAATAAGAGTAAAGGAGAGAATGAGGTAGTTTTAGGTTTCTGCTTCTTTTTATTAGTACTGTATTTTTGCACACATTTTAATGTGAAATAAATTTAAAAATGAGTCTGAAATGCACTTGCTTCCAAATAGATATAACATGTAATTGAAATGTGGTGGGAAAGATTTGTTTGAAATCCTAGCACTGCCTGCGTCAGAAATTTCAAGGTAATCCGTTTATTCATGGAATCATTGATCTCTACCAGTGTTTGTTTACATAGACTATTCTTATTCTTGTTGATTCATGCTGCACTAGAACTGTTCTAAATATACTAAGGGATAGACAGTGTCTTTTTCACAAGAAATAAGTAGCAGACTTGTATAAATGATCACATCAGGACATTTGTGTTTCTTACACAAGCAAAAATTAAATGTTGATTCCTCCTTTAACTAAAACTATTGACTTGTGTGTTGGTGAACTGCATGCAGGAAAATGCTATTACCATAAAGAACGGTAAACCACATTACAGTTGAGCCAAAAGAATAAAGATTTCTTTTTTATTGTATTTAATTGTTGTCTTTGTTTTTATCACAAACAAATAATGCATGTCAAAATGTATTATACATTTTAAAAGGCTACACCGATTTGCAAACATGAACAAGAATTAAAAGTCTTTTTTATTTAAAAATGTGCATGAAACAAAATAATTTTGTACTGTATACCTATATATACCCAAATATAATTTATATCTTTTGCAGTAGGATGATGTTTTAAACCTCAGTGTTAGCGAACTTGATTTGCATTTCCCTTTGAAGGTGGATTCTTCAGGCTGATTAAACACTACTTAAAATTGCTGTACACTTACGTGTAATGTTGGGGAGGCGCTGGTGGCCATGGTGCATGTAGGTGCTAGTGGCGTAGGAAAGGATACAAGAATGGTCCTGGAGGGTAAATTTAGGGTGGGAGGTTAAGAGATTGAAGTCCCCCCTCCATGGTAGCATTTTCTGAGATGCTTCCATTTCCATGTAAAGGAACAGTTAGACAGGCAGAACTGCAGGATCTCAATCCATGGATGAGACAATGGTGTAGAGAGGAGGTATTTAAATATATTAGGAACTAGAGAAACTTTTGGGAAACCAGGAGCCTATAAAGGAAGTAGGAATGTCAACATGTAGTTGACTACATGATTAACTGATAAGCCTGGGTTTATCGATTAATCCTATTGACTACACACGCTTCCCTCCTCCCTTGCTGCCTCTGATACCATGGGGTGGGAGTGGGAGGCGGGAGCCAGTGCCCGTGGGGAGCCAGCTTTTAAACCGGCTCCCCATAAGCACCAGATCATGCAGAGCCACCTGTCCCCTGCCCCCATGCTGCTGCTTCTGACAGAGAGGGAGTAGAAGTGTGAAGGGTGAGGGGGGCAGGTGGGAGCCAATACACACAAGAAGCCAGCTTTCAATCTGAGTCTTCACGCATATTGGCTTCTGCAGAGCTGCCTCCTCCCCACGCCCCCCACTGGCTCCCACAGAGGCAGCGTGGGGGCGGGAAAAGGGAGGCTGCTCCATGGGAGATTAGTGCAGCCTCTGTCACAGGGAGCTTGGGCCCCCGAAGACTGGGACTGTTGCCACTGAGCAGCATCTGTCCGCAGCAGACCGAGGCTAACTGTTGACAGAGGCTGCTCTATGGGATGGCAAAGCAGCTTCTGTTTGCTGGTCCAAGAGGTGAATATAGCTGGACCACTTGATAATAGTGATCATAATATAATTAGATTTAATATCCCTGTGGCAGGAAAAACATCACAGCAGGCCAAAACTGAAGCACTTAATTTCAGAAAGGGGAACATCACAAAAATGACATTAGAAAAACAGAAATTAAAAGGTAAATTGCCAAAAGTGAAATCCCTGCAAGCATAGAAATATTTTAAAGACACCATAATAGATGTTCAACTTAAATATATACCCCCTATTAAAAAGAGAACCAAAAAAGTGCAACCATGGCTAAACAGCAAAGTAAAAGAAGCAGTAAGAGGGAAACACATGGGCTACGTCTACACTGCAGGCTTTTTGCGCAAGAACATATGTTCTTGCGCAAAAACTTGTGGAGTGTCTAAACTGCACGCAAGTTCTTGCGCAAGCACATTTACAGAAAAGCATCGGAAAACAGGGCTTCTTGTGCAAAAGTTATTCTTCTCCCCATAAGGAATAAGCCCTCTTGCACAAGAGCTCTTCCACAAGAAGGCAGTGTAGATGGGCAACAGGGGATTCTTGCGCCAGAAATCCCTATGGCTAAAATGGCCATCAGAGCTTTCTTGCACAAGAGAGCATCCACACTGCCATGGGTGCTCTTGCGCAAAAGCACATCTCTTGCACAAAAGCATATCTCTTCCACAAAAGCACATGGCAATGTGGATGCACTTTTGCACAATAATTTTTGCACAAGAACTCTTGCACAAAACAGTTCTTGTGCAAGAAGCATGCAGTGTAGACGTAGTCATGTTGTTTAGAAAGGAAGTTAAATGTAAGTGAGAAAATAGAAAGGACCATAAAACTCTGTCAAATGAAGTATAAAAAATCAATTATGAAGACCAAAAAAAAATTAGAAGAACAGCTAGCCAAAGACTCAAAAAGTAATAGCAATGCTTTTTAAATACAGTACATCAGAAGCAGGAAGTCTGCTAAACAACAGTGGAGCCTCTGGACAATGGGCATGCTAAAGGAGCACTCAAGGATGATAAAGCCATTGTGGAGAAACTAAATGAATTATTTGCATTAATTTTCATTACCGAAGATATGAGGAGATTTCAAAGCCTGAGCTAATTCCTTTTGGGTGAGAAATCTGAGGTACCGTCTCAGATTAAGATGTCATTAAAGGAGATTTTTGAACAAATTGATAAATTAAACAGTAATAAGTCACTTGGACCAGGATAACTAAAGGAACACAAACATGAAATTGTAGAACTATTAACTGTTATCTGTCATCTATCATTTAAATCATCTAATGTACCAAATGACTGGAAGATACTAAGGTGATGCCAAGTTTTAAAAAGGGCTCCAGAAGTGATCCTGGCAATTACAGGTCGGTAAGCCTGACTTTGGTCCCAGGCAAAATGGTTGAAACTATAGTCATGAATTACATAGCTAGACATACAGCTGAACATAATTTAACCGGAGAAGAATAAATATGGCTTTTGTAAAGGGAAATCATGCTTCACCAATTTACTAGAATTCTTTGAGGGGGGTCAACAAGCATGTGGATAAGGGGATCCAGTGGATATGGTATACTTAGATTTCCAGAAAACTTTTGACAAGGTCCCTCACTAAAGGCTCTTAAACGAAGTAAGCTACCATGGGATAAGAGAGAAGGTTCTCTCATGTATTGGTCCTAAAAGACAGGAAACAAAGGGTAGGTATAAATGGTCAGGATCTCTCAAAGCTGGGTGACTGGGCAACAAAATGGTAGATGAAATGTAATGTTGATAAATGCAAAGTAATACACACTAGGAAATATAATCCCAACTAAGCATATAAAATGATGGGTTATAAATTAGCTGTTAGTGCTCAAGAAAGAGATGTTGGAGGCATTGTAGATAGTTCTCTGAAAACATCCCTCAATGTGCAGTCAAAAAAGTGAACAGAATGTTGAGAATCATTAACAAAGAGTTAGATAATAAGGGGAAAATATCACATTGCTGATCTATAAATCAAAGGTATAGCCACATCTTGAATATTATGTTAAGATGTTGTGACCCCCATCACAAAAAATATGTTGGAATTGATTCTAAAAAAGGCAACAAAATGATTAGGGGTATGGAATGGCTTCCATATAAGAAGAAATGAATAACACTAGGACTTTTCAGCTTGGAAAAGAGATGATTAATGAGGGATATAATAGAGGTCTATAAAATCATAACTGGTGATAAGGCATATTTACTCCTTATCATAAGACAAGAACCGGGTCATCAAATGAAATTAATATGCAGCATATTTAAAACAAATAAAAGGAAGTATTTCTACACACAAGCACATTAATCTGTGAAACACTTTGCCAGATGTTGTTGTGAAGGCCAAGACTATAACAGGGTTCAAAAAAGAACTACATAAATTCATGGAAGTTAGGTCCATCAATAGCCATTAGCCAGGATGGGTCTGGATGGTGTCCCTAACCTCTGTCTGCCAGAAACTGGGAATGGGCAACAAAGAAGGGATCACCTTATGATTATCTGTTCTGTTGATTCCCTCCGGAGCACCTGGCACTGGCCCATTGTCAGAAGACAACATACTGGGCTAGATGGATCTTTGGGGCACATCAAGACTATGTTTTTCATTCATAAAAAGTTATGCAAATTCGGCACGAATTTGCATATCTTCTTCCGATAGGAAAACCTAGTTTAGAGTGCCCAAAATCATAAAAAGTCCCATCAGGATATTTAACAAACATCAATCAATCTATCCTCTCTGCAGACTCAGGTACCACTTGGAATGTAGCTTTACAACACACTTTGGGTAAAAAGTAATCCAACTGTATCAAACAGCATTGATTGATTGATGCATTCAAAAAATCAATCAGAAAAAGATATGCAAATGGGGCATGAATTAGCATATCTTATTTTGAAAGAAAAACATAGTCTTGACGTGTCGTTGGTCTGACCCAGTATGTCTGTTCTTATGTTCTTAAGATAATATTCATGTACAGAGTGCTTAAAACCCTTTTACATTTCAGGTATTTTAAACTATTAGAAAACTGAGGTGAAGCTGTTGGTACTAGATAGCAAAGCTACAAACCAAAATTAAATGTATATTTCTAGCAATATTTTGTACCTGGAATCCAAGTATTACCTTTGTTGTTGTAGAGGAATTTGTACATTAGATGGTTCATTCATTATATTACATTAAGGTAACGGGAAGACTGAAGTCAATAGGAGCTTTGCTGTTAGATTAAATCAAGCTGTGGGGTCATTTTACATTGCTATAATTTAGGGTATTACACATTATTAAAGTGAATCATTTAAACATTTAAGCTACGTCTACACTGGCCCCAAATTCCGGAAAAGGGATGCAAAGCAGGTAAGTCAGAATAGGGAAATCCGCGGGAGATTTAATATCCCCCGCGGGATTTAAATAAACATGTCCGCCGCTTTTTTTCCGGCTTGGGGAAAAGCCGGAAAAAAGCGTCTAGACTGGCGCGATCCTCCGGAATAAAGCCCTTTTCCGGAGGATCTCTTATTCCTACCTTCAGGTTTCCCTATTCTGACTTACCTGCTTTGTATCCCTTTTCCGGAATTTGGGGCCAGTGTAGACGTAGCCTTATGGTATATTTATATGTAGTGCTTTTCACTTTGAAGGATCCCAAATGTTTAACACTCTATAAGTATAAAGCACCATGGAAATGTACCCATCTCTGCAGTGAAGCACAGAAGTTAGTTGAAAAACAGGCTTCATAAAAGAAGGTAAATAGAGGAATTTTGGCAGAAGACACGAAGGCAAAACCCTACTCTTATTAAAAGCATTATAAGAGCTTTAATATACAAGCACAATGGAGCAGGTCTTCAGATTATAAGGGGGTAAA